CTCTCTCTCTTTCCTCTGTGAGAAACTTTTGACCTGGTTTACCTTAATTTGGGTAATTCCAGCCAGTTATGCACACAGTTCACATGCATTTACAACCGTTCGAAAGGCTTGGAGAAAACACAAAATGCATATTTTAATAGCATACAGCCTCCATTACAGTTGAGAATTGCTTTCCATTAGCATGCTCATTTAAATAGTAAAAGTGCCCTAGAAAAAGGAACTGTTAGAGAAATGGGGTGGAAAAAAATGTCTTAATTTTTAAAGAGACGTTGTTTTAAATTTGTAATTTGTAATTTAAATTTTCTTCAGAATAATGTAAGATGCATGACAAAAAAAGTAGTTCAGACCAGAAGAAATGTAGCAGTCTGTTGGTGGTAGCTTTTGAAACTTGATAAGCTCTAGTAAGCTCATCTGGGTGTTTGTCAGGGTACTTTGTTATCAGAAGAATCTGAAGAAGCTGTTACTGCACACTTAGGGGGGAGCGGGGTAAATGTTCTCTGCTCAGTAACAACATGAAATATTTGTTTTAAAAAGACTGAACAGAACCTAGAGTATATTCCACAATTGCAGGATGCTCAGTTGGCCGATCCCCAATCAGGCTCGTCTAGTTTATTTATAGAGCCAAAAAGGAGCTACAGTTTTTGCTGTCATGCATGACTCTTCCTTTGTCTGTCTTAAGAAGCCTGTCCTGAGGAACCAGATTGTCATTAATAAGCGCAGATGAATATAGATTTCTACAAGTGTACTCTGAAAGTTGTGCTCATTTTAGCTTGTTTTCATGTTTGTCTGTTTGCGGCGGGAAAAAACAAACCTACTCGCGCAGCGCTTGTGGTAACGTGACATTAGAAACTACGTGTCAGGCTTGCAGCATGCTTGCAACGTGTACAAAGAGAAACCGTGCAGCTGAAAGTAGTTTCCCCACCTTGCAGTGGCAACGAGATGCGCTGCATTTAGTCTAAGATGTTGCAGAAATTGAATAAATGAGCTTCAGCGCTGACACAGCAAAAGTGTGCATGCAAGGATTAAAGGAGCTCATTCCCATTATCTCTGGTTACCCTTTCGGGCATGTGACACACTGCTCTTTCACTTTGTTGCTCTTACTCATCATGTGCTAATCGCATGTTTCGTTGTTGCTCAGGTGCCGTCTCCCACCGGTCAGCTGGTGAGCTCTGTGCCTCTGGAGCAGACTCCTGCTGAGGAGGAATCCAGAAAGTCCATTTCCCGGTCTTTTAAGGGCACCATGGCCAGCAGCACTGAACGTAAGTTTCTGTTTGTTATTTATGAACACACATTTGGTGTTTGTTGTGGTGGCTGATTGCAATCAGGGTTTCTCATTTTTGCTCGTTTTGGTTGGTTTTTCCCTTCAGCATGTGAGGATGTGCTGACGCCTGCAGCTGTTGCCGACTCTGCCCTGAAAGTTCTCACGAACTGCCTGGCCACCATGCCTGCAGGTATGTTTATGCATAAGATTGTAGCTCAGCCATTATTTTTTGTTGTCCCTGTGGGATTACTTGAGTGGACCAAAGAGGAATAAAATCAAGCAAAATTTCCTTCTGCTGCTGTTTGCCGAGATTACAAAATGCAGCAGAATCATTAAATTTAACTAGCTGGATATTTTCCTTGAATCCTCAGAATTTTTGCTGACTCATTCTGCTCATTTGAGACACACTTTATGTGTTAAGAGAAACATAGTGTTTCTTCACATTCAAATTCATTTTCTATTTAATTTTATTTAATAATTAAGATTATTTCACTAATCCTCATATTGGTTTTTTTTCTTCAGCCAATAGGAATCCACCCTGCCTGTCCAGTCCGCAGTCCTTCCTGTGGGTGACTAAATGGGTTGACTACTCCAACAAGTATGGCTTTGGCTACCAGCTCTCGAACCAAAACGTAGGCGTGCTCTTCAATGAGGGAACACATCTCAGTCTTTGTGACCAGCGCAAGTAAGTACTTTAAAATCAACCGATTAAGATGTCATGTCAACATTTACGCAGCGCTTAGAGCTTATTGTCAGTTGCTTAGTGACTAGGCTCAATGGTGTAAATGGAAAAGATGTCAAAGTTCATCTACCAATTTTTATTTTATTTTTTTAACTTTTCCCCCCGTTCTTCCAAACAGGACTGTCCACTACTGCTTGACCAACAACAAACACTTCAGCTTCCCTTCAAACTCTCTACCTGAGCAGCTGCGCAACCAGAAACAAATAGTTGAACTAATGGCTAACTACATGGAGGAGAACCTAATGGAGGTAGGAAAGCACCCATTAGTTTTCAGCCATTACTTAGAGTGACTGACTTGCATTTAATGACAACTGTAAGCCAGGATTTGTGCCTTCATAAACCTGTTAAAGGGAACTTGAAGAGATTATGACCTCATGCAAATGAAACTAATTAATTTCTATCCTCCTCAGGGTGGAGATCTGCATTGTGAGGAACATGTCTCAGCTCCTCCTCCTCTGCTCCTCCAGTGGGTGAAGACTGACCATGCTCTTGTCATGCTCTTCAATAATGGCACTCTACAGGTTTGGATAATTAAATTAATAAAACCAGTCATGGGACACTGAGTCTACATAACTACTTTTTCAAAGCAGCTGGATTATAATTCTCCTTTTTTTTTTTTTGTTTTTCTTTTTAGGTTAATTTCTACACAGACCACACCAAAATCATCCTGTGCAAGTCTTCTGACGACGCCTACCTGCTCACCTATATCAGTCGGGAACGTGCCTCGTGCACGTACCTCCTCAGCATGTTGAATGAAATGGGCTGCACATCTGAGCTACGGCACCGCCTTAGATATGTGGTCCAGCTTCTCCAGCACCACACTGATGCCTGAGAGCGCAGCTCAGTGCCTCCCAGGCTACCCGAGTGACAGATGCCTTAGAGGCAACCTGACTGGTTGATACAGTTTCTCAAGGCATAGCCAAGCAAGGCAATGTGTTCATATGCGTGACGGATGAAAAGGATGCTCAACTTCTCTGAGCAATATTCTTGTCTGGCTTAGTGCCTAGGCAGCTGATTTATCAAACTGACTGATTTTGATAAATGTCAAGCAGTCAGGGAGTTGCCCAAAGCAGCATCTGCCTCAAGGGGTTGTGCCTATCCAGCTAAGCCTCAAAGGTATCCACCTGGAAGCTATTGATACCTAAAATAAAGACTCATACATGGCCTGAAATGATGGATCCCTCATCGGCAGATTCCTACAAAACAAAACAAAAAAAAAGACAAAAAAAACAAAACAAAAAAACCCCACCCAGTTACCCTCCCTCACTCAAACCCACTGCTTCTTGTCTTGGGCCTTTCAAATCCGCCAACCCTACAGCTTTCAGCCTCCCCTGATAGCCCATCACCCAGGCATGGTATCTTAAACATTTCTCAACACTAAAATTGTCCCTTTTGCTCAGAATGGAGAAAATCCTGCAGCAGAAATGCTCAGATTTCCAAAAGTATTTTAGCAGCAAGGTCTTTTACACCGTTCTCTTGCACTCCAACTGATCTTTCAGCAAAGAAGCTTTGTGAAGAGGTATGGTTTGACTAGAGAGAAAGACCCCCCCTAAACCCTCAATTGGTTCATTGTCTTCATTGGTACACTTGTTTTGTTTTTGTTTTTTTTCTTTAAATTTGTTTTTAAAAAAAAATGGAAAGAGCCAGCTATAGGATCACACTACAATCTTGACCTCACACGCACAAATATGCCTGGCCTTATTTGATGATGGTGATGCTTAAGTTTGGGAGTCATTGCTTCTTCTGCTCCAACATCATTTTTTTTTCTTTTAAATTGCAACCAAATTTCACTGATGTGGTGCATAACAAACTACTGGGGCTGCAGGAGTAAACACAATTTTGCACTTTCTTCTTTTCTTTTTTTTTTCCTTCTGTAAATTCATCAGGTGTACAAAGCCTTTTACCACTTGTTAGCTTTTTTTATTTGTTTTTAACTAGATACCAAAAAGCATTTCAACTTTTCTGTTTGTTTTTAAAAAGGGGAAAAAAAAAAAGATTCAACTTTTTAAAATTCACACACAGTAGGTGAATGTGCGCTCCACACGTGCTGGGAAGCTGAACTGTTGGTTGGATAATGGGGTGGGGGAAAGGGGGGTAAAAGTGCCTTTCTGAGGAATGCCCGTTTAGTGCAATAACAGCCCTTTGTGAATGTCAAGCTGGCTACAAACAAGACTGAGATGGGTTTTACAGGTGGGATTTACTTTTGGACTTTGCACCAAGTTTAAGTCCAATAGCACTACACTCTCACTACCTGGTATAAGCTTTTAGAACAACTGTTAGAAGTATATATTCCAATAATATCTACTAAGGGAAAAAAAAAAGAAAACATTGTACTCTGTCGTACTGTACTGTACTGTAATCCTGATCGGTTTACATTGCTTTCTTGACCCAGAGTTGTATCCTAAAAACTGTGACCTGGAATGCAAGTATTATGTACATGTGTTTTCAGAAAACTCAACATTGTGAAAGCCATCTGCCAATTCAGAAGAGTCTTTATTTTTTTGGCACATAATGTCGTGTTTATTTATTTTTTATTTATACATAGTTTTTTATTTATTGTGCAAATGTTCCGGTCTTGACACAAGTAAACGTTCAATTCCGATCACTTTTTTTGTAATGTATTTTGGGGGAAAAATGGGACAAAAATAAAGTTTATTGAAAATGACTTCAGTTTCTTGTTGCATTTTTATATTGGCAGTGCACTAAAGTTGAGAAAAGTATGGGTTTTGTTGAAACGAATGGCATTTTTAACGAATGACTCATGTAGCAGTCATTACCAAACGCACACCTTTGATGATGATAATAATAATGGATTGCATTTTCGAGACCCTCAAAGCGCTTTACAATTCCACTATTCACGTTCTCACACTGGTGGAGGCAAGCTACAGTTGTAGCCACAGCTGCCCTGGGACAGACTGACAGAAGCGAGGC